ATGGTGATTGTAAGCCATGAAATAAAGGGACATCTGCTACTTGGAAGAAAGATTAGGAGAGATCTAGACATAGTATTAAAGCACAGAGACACCATGCTGACAAACAAGACTCATATTCTCAAGGCCTTGGTTTTCCCAGTTGTACATATGGTTCTGAAAGCTGGACCTTCAGAACAGCTGAACAAAGAAGAATAGCTGCCTTTGAATTGTGGGGCTGGAGAAAATTACTGAGAACATAAAAGAACAACTCATTTAATATTTAGATGAAGAAAAATCAGCGTGCTCACTGGAAGCACTAAAGCCAAAATATTTTGGACATACACTGCAAAGCAATTGGAGGAGATCCTGAGGCTTGGAAAAATTGAATAGAGGAAAGTTTGCAGAAGACATGGTGTCTGGATACTATTCCTGATGACACAAACATAAGCTTAGAAGAACTCAAAGAAACAATTACTGACACACAGTTCTGATGAAATGGGTCACGAAGAATTAGAAATGTCTCAACTACTGCACTACACAACATTGCCACCAAAGATCATAATACATCTATCGATACAGTCTAGAAGAGGTAGAGTTTATGTAGTGTAATCTTAGTGGAACATAATACCAATGAACTATTTGATGGTGAAAATTTGATAATTTGCTGAAAGAGATTTAAAAGGAATTCTGCGCAACAAAGATTTTAATAGAGCTTAATCAAGTTCAGTACTGGAGTTATCCTCCATTTTTTTAAGACCTTAAAAAGAATCTGTTGTATTTAATACAGCATAGGAGTTTTATATAATTGTGATGCAATTCCCTTACTATTAAACAAAGTTGGGAGGTGCTTTAGTTTCAGATCCAAAATGGTGCTTCAGTGCATACAGAGATATGAACGTAGCACCTGTCTGCAGCTCTCAAAAACAGCTGTGCTTTTTCATAGGATTGTTTGGCTGAACTTAACATCTACAATTATAATTTTAATTGTATAAAATTTCTAAACAAAGATTATTTTGGATTACAATAGAAAGTAAAAATTCCACATTTTGTCTCATTTTCTTCTTCAGACTCAGCAATTTCAGAGGCGCTACAGAAGTTAAACCTAAACTACTCAGAGGAGTTCATGAAAAGTAAGTGCTATGCCTTTAATTATCTTGTGAATAACACAAAGGACAGACTAGATGGCACTTTTAATGTGAAGTTGCTAATGGACCTCAACTGCTACAGACCCCCAACTGCTAAGGGCCATACTCACTCTTGGTCTGTAAGTATCCTCACCTTCTTTCTGCTTTGGTTCTGTCCCTACTTGCTGTTTGCCATGGCACAATCACACATTCGTCCCTGATCTAACATCATCTTCTAGTACTAGAAGTTCTTGTAAGAAGGAAATATCTTCTAAGGTATCTTGGATTTTGATATATCTACTGCACAGTATAATCTTTCCTTCTTTGCTTGACCTTCTTTAAATCAGTTACTATGTGTCCACTGACATTCTTTAGTAAACCACTTTGAGGTTGGAACTTCCTTCTGAATTTGGAGATTTTTTGGAAGAGTTTGCTTGTTTTCCCATGTCTGTTTCCATTTTTGATGACTTTATAGATGTCATTGTATTATTGCTGCTTCTCTCTCCTAACAGTTCTCTGAAATTCTTTGTTAAATTCCTTCCTGAGATCCTTGCTGTTCTTGGCTTTGGCTTCTCTTCTCTTCTTGGTAAATTCTATTGTTTGTCCTGACATCCAGTTTGCTTTCTTCTGTTTTGTAGTCTTTGGCAGTCTCTTCATGTGCGTCCTTAACAACTTCTTTGATTTCATTCCACAGTTTCTCTGCTTCCATATCAGTTAGGTTCAAGACTTCAAAGTGATTCCTGATGTTCTCCTAGAAAATGATGGGAATATGCTCAAGATCATATTGTGGAAACTGATTGGCTTTGTTCTTTTGCTTTAGCTTGAATTGGAACTTGCTCACGAGCACTTCATGATCTGTCCTCAGGAGTGCCTGGCCACATATTTACTGTTATAACTAAGCTCTTCCACCTTCTTTTACTAATAATATAATCAATTTGATTTCTGTGTTTTCCATCTGGTGATATCCATGTATATAGGCATCATTTCAGTTGTAGGAAGACTGTGTAAGCAGTGAAGAAAGCATTGGATTGGAAAAAATTGATAAGTTACTCTCCTGCTTCATTTGTTTCCCAGGCCACACAATTCAATTACATTTTCCTCCTTACTATTTCCAACTTTGGCGTTCCAGTGTCCAACCAAGCAGTACATCCTGTCAATTTCAGATTGAATTTGACCATAAAACTGGTCAACCTCCTCTTCTTCTCCATCAGTGTTTGGACCATAAACCTGGTCATCATAATAAAGGGTTGTCAACAAAATGTAATTGATATTATCCAGGCATTGATTGGATGCCTGTCCTAGCTCTATCCTTCCTGACTATGAAAGCAATGCCATTCCTTCTTTGTTCTTTGTGTGCTGAATAGTAGACAGTTTTAATT